CAATGGGTGAAACTATCCAATTTAGTCAGGGTTGACTCAGCCTTCCATCCTTCCGAGGTGGGTAAAATGAGGACCCGGATTGTTGTTGGGGGCAATATGCTGACTCTGTAAACCGCTTAGAGAGGGCTGAAAGCCCTATGAAGCGGTATATAAGTCCAACTGCTATTGCTATTGCTATTGCTATTAAAATTGAAAAAACAACAACAACATGAATACATTTCCTATCCTGCTTTTTCAAAGCCTAGCTTTCACTTCCATAGAGTGTCACAGGAAATTCCAAATCTTGCATAATTCTGAGATTGTGCATCATCACCGCAATTTAATATTATTTCCAAGGCCTTCATGGCTATTCTACCAAATGCTAATTTGTGGCATATTTCTTAAGTTTTCCTAATATTTTTAGAACACTCATTTAATTATCAATTGCAAAAACATGTTTTCTTGTAATGCCCAATTTCATCTAGAGGTGCACAGACATTTAACCTGATACAGTATATGATTCTTGCAAATGGAAAAATAATACCCAAAACGGTATGTTTTTATTAGCTCTTTGGTGCTTTCTGAGCTTGGTGGTTTTCTTGCAGTTTGTTACCTAATTTGATAATGAAATTTTTCTGCAAGAAAACCTCCAAGCTCAGAAAGCACCAAGGACCTCACAACCTTGAGGTACAAATATTTTTTTCAATCAGTATTGTTTTTCTTTTTGTCTATCAGGGCTTGTTCCCAGAACCATTGTCCATGCAGAATAATTATTTGCAAATCCTGAAGATCTTGTGGGGAAAAACCCAGCTTAAGGGAACACATAGTTTTGAAACTGCAATGGTGCAATCTACATTTCCACACAAGAAGGTATTTTTTTTCTTATGGGCCTTTAAAGGGGTGGGGTTTGTATGTGTTGTCTTTATTTACTGCAAGAAAAATCACAACCATATCTCTGAATCTGCATAGAGATGAAAGCAGTTAAATAGTTGGAATTTTTAAGGCGATATTTATTGTTTGATATGTGAAGCCTTCAAATGAAAAATGATAGAAAATGATTACAGAGGATTATCTCCATCTCATTTATCTTTGTTATATGTATGATAATCCCAGGGGTGGTTTTTTCAAGAGGCAACTGGACTTTCTGGTTTTCTTTGCTTCTCATCCAAGAAGCTTCTTCAATTCTGGCTGGATGGTGAGGAATGGAAGGATTTATACTCCTTGCTTCTTGGAACTATTGAAAGGACTGTGTCATCTTTAAAATCTATATCAAAATTGAACAGCCCTCACTCAACAGAGGGGGGGGGGATATGACATCATCTATCTCCCATCTACAACACAATCCTTTCAATAGTTCCAAGAAGGCTCCACACCAATTTGCACCACTCAGATGACCCTGATGACACAGATAAACCTTTAGGTGACCTTAACAACCCGCTAAAAGAATACAAATGACCAGCTGTCTGCAAGGAGTATAAATCCTTCCATTCCCCACCATCCAGTCAAAGGTGAAGAAGCTTCTTGGCTGAGAAGCAAAACGTCTTCAAACAAAGGAAAAGCAGAAAGTCCAGTTGCCTCTTGAAAAAAGCACCTTAGGGACAACCATGACCTGGATGTCTGAGAATCTCCATAGACATGTATAATAATCATACATAGCTGGCCAATTATATGAATAATTTATAATATTGTACTTTCTGGTTAATAAAGTTTTGAGTGCTCTGGCCTTGAAAATGTTAAGCTTGTTGTAATATCCAATATCTTTTTAATCCCTTTCTTTTATATACATTGTTTTAATTTATTGCATCTCACTCTGTGTTCAATCAGTAAGTATAAGGAAATATTCTGCTCAATTCTTGTTGTTATCCTGACAATAACCATACTGTTTCTTGGCTACAGTCTGGTCTGCTTTCTGTTGCCTTTTTATCTATTGCCCAGTCTGGTCTACGGCCCTGAAATTCTCTTGTGGTCTCCCACCCAATTCCTAGTCATAAATAACACTGATTAGTAGCCCAGCCTACCCCTACTAAGATGGGTTAGAAATGTCACTGTATTAATAAAATAAGCATATTTTGTCTCTGAAGATCAGGAACAAAAGAACAATATCCTTTAATTTTTTTTCCATGATGCAGCATTTCTACATGTGATTGCTGTATGGCAGCACTAAAATATATGATCATAGAATACAGAATAACAGAAGGAACTGTGGAGGTCTTTTCAAGCAGGAGACCCTATATACCATTTCAGACAAATGGCTGTCCAATCTTTTCTCCACCAATGGAGCACCCACTGCTTCTGGAGGAAAGCCATTCTACTGATTAATTCTCACTATCAGAAAAGTTCTCCTTAATTCTAGGCTGGGTCTGAAGTTGAAGCAGACTGACCTTGACCTATAATTCTTCAAATTCTTTTAAGAATAGTCTGTTGGATGACATTTGGAACCATCTTATTCAGAAACCATCTGCCAGATACCTTCAGGAAGTGCTAATTTCCTTCTCCCATTGTAGCTCTTCGGCAACTGTTATTCAGAAATACACACTGTCTCTGAAAATCCTACCAATCTGCCACAGGTAACATTCGTTGTCTTTCATGACTAGAGGAGAGTGGCAAAGCAATGCAGAGGAATTCAGGTTCTGATCTTTGCAACGTTTCCATTTATGCCATCTGTTTGTAGAAATGTCTGAGTTTTCTCACTAATCTCTTCCACATGCTGTTGATATATGAACGGAAAATGCAAATAAGCTTTTTTCTTATTTACAAAGAGAAAGGAGGAAACTCATTTCAAATAGCAGAGAAACTATCATAATGAATTGTTTAGTTCCCTTTTGCAAAGTCACATAGTTGTGGGTTATGGCAAGGACTCCAGAAGAGTAATTATTTGCGCAGGCTCTGTCGTGTCAACCTTTGCCCTTTGAAAAGATTACTGTTTCAAAGCAATTGCATTTTCAAAGATTGTAAATAATACTGTTTCAAAGTCAGCAAGGAATTTCTGGTCAAATCTATTAATCTTTAATTGGGTTCAATTGAATCTCCAGCATGGAATCTGTTTAAAACAAAAACATATTTGAGGTAAGCCTTGACTGCCTACAATTTTTCTTTTTTATAACAAGAAAAAATATATTTGCAACCCTAACTTTAAATTGCATAATTGAAACCAAGCAATGAGAAATCCTTTCTCAATCCTTAAGTGATGCCTCGCTTAAAAAAAAATCTAGAAAACTTTTAGACTAGAAAAATGCTACTTCAGTCACGTAAAAAACCCCAAATGATGACTTCTTCATCAAGAAATGTTATCATTTCCTGCTTTGATTACCAAAGGTAACCCAGAGCAAATCATCAAATACTTTTAAAGGCTCCTTGTTTTTCTTTCTTTCTTTCTTTCTTTCTTTTTTTTTTGCCACCCATCTTGCAAAAGCACTAGAGAATTCCTGGAAGCTTGGCACTCTGATAAATTGGCCATCATTAGACACACAGACATAAGTAACATCTACCTATTGTGCAAAAGAGACCATCAGCAAGCCAAAAAGGGAATCTAAAAACCAAAACACCTTTTCACCAGCAATCAACACCCAGATGAGTATAGATTAATGCCAAGATTAACATCAGACCAACAATTAAGTAAACAATACTACAATGGTTTATTGGTGCAGTGGTTACAGTGCAGTACTGGAGGCTACATCTGCTGACTGCAATTTGGCAGTTCAAATCTCACCATGCTCAAGGTTGACTCAGCCTTCCATCCTTCCAAGGTGGGTAAAATGAGGACCACGTTTGTTGGAGGCAATATGCTGACTCTGTAAAGCACTTACAGAGGGCTGTAAAGCACTGTAATGCGGTATATAAGTCTTCAGTACTAAGTGCTACCAAGGAACTGCCAAACAAGGCAACAGTAAGCAGCCCATCAAAGAACCTGTAAGATTGCCCCCACTAACATTGACAGACAATCCATTAAAATATAAAAGAAGAGCAAACCCATTCCTTACTAGCGCTGGTTATGTTACCTAATTAGGATAATGAAATGTCTACAAGAAAACAACCAAGTTCAGAGAGCATCAAAGCACCTCATTTCAACCCTGAGCTACAAATACTGTCCTTTATTGATACTATCTTAGTACATACAATTATAATGTGAAAGGTCTGTTATCATCCCTGTCCTCATATCCACCTGGTTCACAGAATTTTCCAGATTCCCACACATAATCTTTGCCTATATGTAATCTTCATTTTCTGCTACTTCTGTTATTTTCTTACCAAGAAAGAAAAAGGAATAGATGGGAAAATAGTGGAGTAGCCCAAGATTTTTTTCCCCTAACTTGGTAGCATTAGATGAGTTTCTCGAAGGAAGGCTACAAAGTCAATCTGGAAACATTGCACTCACTTCCAAGAAAGTAAGTTTCTGATTGTGCCTTAAACTTATTTAATTCTAAAATTAAGGTACTCTATTTGGCATTGGTTTTTTGTACGTACAACTATGATAGCTATCCTGCTGAGTCCCAGCATGATGAAGAGAAGAATTGCAAATTTACTTTCAGCTCTATGGCAACACATCTGGATTGTATCCAACAAGATCTGTATCCATTCCCTTCAGATATGAATTCCATCAGCATGCTTGACTGCGTGCATTGCAAGCATGAGGGCAAGCATAGAACTAGTTTGACATTTTCAAACTACATGTAACTATTATTGCTGTGAGTATGAAGTTATTCCATACCACATTATTTTTGCTTCCTTTGTAAAGCTGGAAACATATTAGCCTCAATTGCTGATGTAAACACATTTTAACAGGCCATATAGCCTCCTTTGGCAGCAGGCCACTTAAACTGCCCTGCGACATAAATCTGTCGGTCTCCACTGGTTTCAAGACAAGAATCTCCCTTTGCAGTCAAAGATCTAGCTTAAACAATTTTCCCTGAGAAAATACTTCTAACAGAAAAGTGAATGTAAAGAGGTAAATTGATGAACAGCAAGGAAAAGCTAAATAAATCTGATTGGGGTAGAATGGGGTGTTGTTTTAATTTACAGCTGGCCAATTTTAACATAATAAAGCACATCAACTATATCATTCTGCTACACTTAATCAGAAAGAGCCAGATGTTTTATATCAGTCAAATAATTTTGAAATGCCTGGCATTCTGAACATCGCTAAAAACTCTTCACTGGGGATTCTTTTAAAAAATGTTTTAAATATTTCCTTTTTTTCTCCCTAGTTGATTGAAATAGCTCTTTTAAACATTTGTCATAATTACCCAGGAGGTAGGGGATAGGAAAACCTTATCCTTCACTATCTGGCATGATTTCCTCAACCTGGATAAATGTCAGTCTTTGCTGGAGACCATGAATATATTTGATTATATTGTATTGTGCTTTGTAGAAATTATTGTCAGGCATTTTCATGTAGTTACTATTATATCCTACAGCAGTGTCTATCAACCTTGGCATGTTGAAGATATGTGGATTTCAACTCCAAAAATTCCATAGTAAGCAACCTGCCTGGGGAATTCTGGAAGTTGAAGGCCACATATCTTCAAGATGCCAAGATGGTGAATTACTGTGCTAGAGTCCTCTTACATATCTTTGTTGCAGTGACAGGGAAAAAAAAAGATTCCTTTACAATTTTTAAATCTACCTGTTTTGATTCTGACAGATATACAAAAAATACCCTGCATGCAAATGTTTAACCAAACACATACTTTCCAGGAGTTTGCACCATAGTTCAATATCTAGCAATAGATGTAGAATGGGACAACTTACCACAGCTGACTCTCCCTAACCAACTCGCTGTGATCAACTCAACATGGGTCAACTCTCCGCAGGACAATTCAATGTGAGATAATTCAAGAGAGGGACAAGTGAATTGCAGCAGGCCTCGCCTT